GAGATGTGTAAGTTTGCTCGATATTCGTCTCTTGTGAAGTGCGCTCCCTCTCGTGTGGATCTTTGCGTTTGCGGGAACTGGACATAGCTTTCTGTAATAGGTCAGCATTCGAAAAGTGGCTGGGTGACGAGGGGTGGCGCACGGAGCTTGTACCAGCTACAGTAGAATGCGACCGTCTTTTCCTCTCGGTCGGTTTGGTGACGGCACCAGATACAATCTTGTCTGCAAACATAAAATCAATCCATTAATACATATTTTTAAAGGCATGATTATAGAGCAGCAACATATAACAATAAGCCAGTTATACCTAAGTTGAAGGGTGCAACTTTCTTATGGGTAAGCTTGTAAAAAGAGCGAAGTTCGTCTGGAATAATTAGCTTTTTTATGTTGTAGGGAGTTTTGTTCCACTTAATTATGAGTTCGTTAAACCGAGCCATTTTCTTCGGTCGTGGTGTCCTTTCGATGTCGACAAGCCACTCCGGTCCAAATTTAAAAGTGCCCTCGGGCGGTTTTAGAAAAAAGAAGCGGGTTTTCCAGTGGTTAACCTTGTTGTTCAAACCACAAAGGAAGTCGGCCCCTCTTCGGGCGCTGAGGTAGTAGGACCCGCTTTGATGTAACGAAAGACCGTAGCAGTAAAAGAAGAACTCCGGCTCTAGTTTACCGAAGTGATAGTGGCTCAAGATGGTGTAAGCTATGAGGATACGAATACTATTCGGTACCAGCTGATTGATGGGAAAATTATAGAGATCGCACAGTGTAAGCAAATCGGGTCTCACCGGAAACCTAAGGCCGCATTTTACTTGGTCGGCGAAGAAAGTGTAAAAGCCATCAGGGGGTCGATTATACGAGCTACCCGGGGTGGGGACCTGGAGCTTCCAATCGGAGGGTAGTTCGCATTGCTTCATGAAGGCTTTAATTTTGGATTCAGGGGCATTAAGGAAAGGATTGGACCGAGTGACCGCCACGATTTTGGATGCGAGGGTTACCTCGGGATTCTCTATAGGGGCAGCGTCTATCGTAATACTCGTTTGTCAAGAGCGTAGCTCGGTAGTAGGTAGAAGAACGCCGTGAGGATGATCGCCATCTGAGAAGAGGGGTTTCTCTTAAAAAAAAAAAAACAAATGAAAGAGATCGACGCCATAGGAGAATAAAGAGAGCACTAGGCTTAGCTTATGGCACATCGGCAAAAGCGATAAAAAAAAACGAACATGGAAGCGAGGGAGATTTCAGAGGGATGAGAGCTTATCCATAGTCGTCGGCGATTTCGGGTGAGCACGGGAGCTGGGCTGTACCGTCGATGACCGGAGGAGTCGTGGCTGGTATTCAGTGTGAATTTTGGGGAAGGAAGACATGATCTATTTAAGGGCCATATTCATTACAGTTTTCAATTCAAAATTCAAATTTCAAAAACAGTGGAGGGGCCCCCTAATCACGTGGAGGGTAGGCAGTCAATGCACCATATTTATTGGGAAGTGATGTAGTTTGAGTTGATTTAATTGGGGTGTGGAGCTCGAGGCATGGCTTTTGAGTTGATTTAATTTACGGCTCTTGGACAGTACTAATTTAATTTCCAGCTCATCCATCGCACAATCATCTATCCGGTCAGATACCACGCTTCATTTGCTCGGTCATGGACGTTGGTTATTTTGTTCGGTTCAGCGCCATGGCTTATTATCTTGTTCATGTAATTATCAAGACGAGTCTTTGTAGACACAGATCGCTTGATAATGGGGGGGCTAGATGATATAGCATAGAAGAACATAGAGGCGAACCGGAATATTTTAGCCCGGTTTATGGAGATTGGGTCGAGCAGATACGCCTGGCAGATAACATGGAGGTGTCCCGACCAGATGACCCATAACATTACTTTGGGCCGAGAGAGCTTTGGTTGTTCGGTTCTATGAGTTAGCCTCGTTAAGTGTGGGCTGCTCAGTCCATCTATGCACCCAGCGGTTTGGGGCGTTGGATGTAGTTTGCTCGGCCCATGTAAGAGCTTCAGTAATCAGGCCCATAGGATAGTATGGGTGGGCCGGGTCACAAGGAATGTACTAAATTAAACCAGATCTATCGGACGGATAGGAGAGGAAGCGTGGAACAGAAGTTAATAAATCAGGTATAAATTGGTGAACCAGCGGGATGGTAAGATCTATCACATTCTAAAAACCCTAACCCTACTTATAATTACGATTTTCGTATCTTCCTAAATCCTCTATTGACTTGAGCGTCGGAGAGTTACCGCCGGGAACACCACCCGGCGTTATTGCAGGTCTCCGGGGGCTTGAACCGAGCGAGGAGCAGAAGAGAACCGGGGGGCAGGTGCGGAAGTGATATCAATCTTGATCAGTAAGTAAAAGCT